GGGACACTGAATTATATAAAATAAATAGGAAAGTTAGTCTTCTCTGCATTTTTTGCACTTAACCCCAAATTAATCACTTAAAATAAGTATAGCTAATTATTTGTACAGATATAATGCTTCCACAAGCGTAAAATCACACTTGTAGACAACCAAAATCTCGTGGTTATCTGGAGTGATGGGGATGGAATACTGGCTGACACAGGTAACTTACAGCAAATGGGGAGTTCACTGCAGGCACAAGACTGGCACCATGTACAACCAGCTTGGGTCATGCCTTCATTCTGTATCACCTAGACCCCATCTTGCTCCAGGAATGAAGAGAACTTACTAGACCAAACACTGCGCTCAAGCTGAACTTTTTTCAGGCATTGTGGGTAGTACTGTGCCCAACTAATAAGCCCTCTCTGAGCCCAAAGCATTGGGAAGTTCAGGGACCGGCTGTAGTCCAAGAGGACCAGTTGATCCCAGGCAGAGTTCTTCCTGCATTGGATACTGAGTTTACTAAATAGGATACAAGTTGGCTCCATGCATGGTTTGTTAGATTGGGCTCCCACAGGCAGCCCTCCAGCTGTGGAAGCAAATTTGATCCTGAAGGCTAAGTAGCCATCGCTGAATAGTGTACTCCTAATCCCCAAAGCCCTGAAGGGTCTGAGCAGGCTGCGCACATGAATGGCTTGTCTGTCCAGTATTACTGCTCTGTAACCACAGAGGATAAACTGACCATGGATACTGGGGAAAAGACTGTATGTATGGCCATGTTTATAAACATCAGCTACCAAAAATCGATGCCCCATCAACAGTCATGAAGTTAGCGTGAAGCTGCTATAATCCTGTGCTTTCTGCCTCCTGAGTTTTTGGACTGCATTAGCTTCCTATGATCAAACTTTTCTCTGAAACCTTAGGAACTGGGAAGATGGGCATATAACTGGAGTTATGTATTTCATCTAGTGGAACTTCAATAGAATTATTAAATATAGGAGTTGACAACTCTGAAAAGGTACGTCTAATTTAAGCAACGATTGAAAATCACGCTAAGCAAAAGTCTCTAATCTGTGTGAAAATGATGCCATCCCTGTAAGCAGAATAATGGCTTTTTATCCTTGATCTTGGAAAGGACAGATAGCAAAAAATGTGTCATAACTGTGAAGGGTTCTGGGTCAAGAATGATCATATCTGAAAAAGCTGTTGCTAAGATTGTTACAAAGTTGTTTCTTGTAAATTAAAAACAAACAGTAATAATTTTGTTTCTTTTTAAATTATGATAGAAAGTCTGTCTAAAGTGGTGTTCTCGTATTCTGCTGAGGCATGCGAGCATGCTGCTTAATGATGATGTCAGAAATACTCGCTGATGATACTTATTTTCACTGCCTACAACAAATGAAATGCTAACAGTAAAGAACAGATTAGAGATGGGAGACGATATCCCTTTGTAAGTATCAAAGTTTATCTCCATCATACTATTCTGTCCAGCTACATGAGGCAACATCGTAATCAGAGGTCAGACACCTCAGAATAAATAGTTTCAAAGGAACTCAGGAAACAGTAGCTGAACCATTGGAAGGATGATTTGTTTCCAGGTACAAGTGAGTATATAAACCAGGTATAAACACAAGTGGTTGGCCAAAGCTGAAGCCCATAGAAAATAACCTTGCAAAAGAAAAAGGCACTGTAAGTTGCCAGCATTTGTTTGTGAGGCGATGCAAACACCAAGAGACTGGCAGAGAAGCCCTCTCCAGTCTCGATGCAGGAGCAGGGAGGGTGTGAGCTGGGTGTCATGCGGGGCAAGGGAAGGTGAGGGCCTCTAACCCTTTTCTTCCCTGTTAAACTAGTTAACAGCTTGGGTTTGTTTTGTTGTTGTTGTTGTTGGGGTTTTTTTGTTTTTGTTTTTTTTTAAGAAGCTGTTTTGAATCATTTTAGTTGGGCTGGTTACAGGCCCCCAAGGAAGGGTTCGCAGGTGCCAAGCACGGGGGGGACCATATTTTTGCCGTGACTGGGACTAGAGATGTCCTGTCCAGGGACTACTCTGAAAGCTGAACATTCCTGGGGAAATAGCACAGAAAAGGAAGCAGTTCATCCTGCCACTTATCAGTGTGCTTGGGGGACGATGAGGGATTCAGGGGACAACCCAGATTGCAGCTGTGATGATATAACAGCAAGAGGGGGAGACCGAGCCTAAAATAAAAGGCGTAAGTGTACATGGGGAGGAATGCAGGCAGTGGTCTGCCACTTGCAAAATGTGATCGCAGAGGCAGTAGCAGAGATCACAGATGCAAGTCATCCTTGAATCTGACAAACGAGAGTTCAAACAACATGAAATCTATTTTTTTGAATGCTTCACTGTTAATAACTTGAATTATGATGGTGGTAAACCAGGCAAGGAAAGAGCCTGAAGGCATTAGCTCTCTCATTATCATTTGCTGCAGTTTCTTGACTGCGGAGGAACTCATTTAAACCAAGTCAGTCCCTGGCCTGTGCAGCTTCAATTCTTGATTTCCCATTGGAGGTCCCAGGACTCAAGATGCCATTTGTTTTCTCTTTCTTTTTTTTTTTTCCCCCTCTCTCCTTATGTGCTTCCATCCTTAGTCTAAAAAGCTGCTGTCATAAGAATTACTGAAGCTAAAAAAAATAGTGCTTTGTACCATCTGAAAGCTTTGCAGCCTTGAGTCATATGGAGGGTAAAAAGCAATCCATCTTAAAGATCAGTAGTTTTTAAACCACTGGAACCCACATTTGACCTTAGACCTGGGAGGAGAGGGATGTTTATCATGATAACAGTATTTAAAACCTAATTCCTCCTAGCCTTATATAATGTACACAGTATTTCACAAACCGGTACAAGCATGAGTGGGAAGGCTTGTGAATTACTAGAAGAGCTGAGATGTTAAGCACAGACTGCTGTTCTGGGCAATGTTATTTATTTATCTGGATAGACATTTCCTTTTCCACTGGAAAAAAGTTGGAAAGGATGTAGAGAGTATGTATTTGTGAGACTTGGCAGTGTTCTCCAGTGGCTTTGTTGGCCAGGTTTACACACAAGGCAATTATATCTAATCTTTCTTACATTAACAGCTAAGCATTGGCTTCCTTTTTATTTCTTCAGATTTACTTGTGCAACCTTCATGTTGTCCCTGTGGCCAGTCACGTGGAATTTAAGATATCTCTGTTGTCAGTTCTTCTCACACCGTTCATTCCTTGAGCTGCTCCACGTATTTGAGCAACACAGCATCCTCATATCCTGAATAACTGTGACTCTACCCTACTGTCAGAACAAGTGTCTCTGTCATATCCCTTCCACCCACTCCTCAGAGTGATACCAGTCTTCTCCTTCCTATGCTTGCTTGCTTCTGCTTGGGGAATGCCCTTCCTGTGGTGCTCTGCAAAGCCACAACCCTGTACACTTTTAAAATTTCCCTGAAGATCCACTTCTGTGATGCTTGCAAGAAACTAGCTAAGTAATCTGCTTATCTATTTCATTTATCTCATGAGTGACTCACTCCTTCCATGGTGCCTCAAGAAACATGTTGATTAAATCTCCTTCTTCTTACTCTGGTTTTATCAAATAAAAATGTTGCTGGACTGTGCCCTGCATTGGGCTTCACAGAGGCTGGGTGAATTCTAGGCTAACTGGATCACTATCACCTTTCAGATGCCACTCTGTTCTTCCTGCCCATTTGTTGCTTGTATCCTTTGTTGCTTCTCATTAGAAAACACCACCTTGTCCTCCAGCTGCCTGTAGATAAAGAGGCTTTGCTCTTTGCTTGGCTCTTCATGACTTTAGCAGAGCACCAGATATGTATAGAAGTCCACCTACTTGGAGCTTGGTGTATTAGTTTGGGAGCTATTCCATGCACAATCAATGTTTTTTGTCTCTAGCAGGTGTCTCCTACCACAATTTGCAGGAGTGTCTAAAACACTGTTCATAAGGAGCTAATAGCATTTGGTGTGACTGTTGACTGTGACTGTCACCCTACTCCATGCATTTTTCATGTTACCTAATTTTCGTGTTTGTAACTCCAAAAAATTTCTGTAAGATAAACGTGTCTGAGGGTTCTTGGCTTGCTAATGCTCTCTAGCAAGCCTAGATAGTATTATCCACTTTAAACAGATAATTTAAAGGTATTTTAATTGAACACAATTTTAACTTCATGGATAAGAGTAACAATTGAAAGACTTTTTTCTTCATAAGAGAAGGTAGCAAACTGAATCTTTTTATAATTGTACTGTCTCGTGTCATGAAGTAACACATACAGGGATGATTTTTATTCCTGTGCTACATAACAGGCAGCATTTATGTGTCGCTTGTTGTGCCTTTCTAATGCACAAAAAACAGTGGGTCTCCCTTTTGTGCAAATGGTGATGTGTGTATTTAGTGTCCTCTTCAGTAGGGCATCTCCGTCTATATGAAGTTAAACGCATGCTGTGTGTCAGCAGGATCTGTGTGCTGAAGTGTAAGATACGTACCCGTTGTTCACTTCTTACCAGCATTTCCCAAGGAAACAGTATGGCCTTGGCTATGTCGACATCCTAATTTGATACCAGTTTTATGGCGCTATTGTCTAGCAAGCTAATGGTCACAGAGGTAATTAATATTGCTAGACATAGTGGCAGCGTTCCTCTAATATTAGTAAAGACTCCAGTTTGTTCAGTAAGACCTGGAGTTTGGATCCCCATATTCCCTCTGAGCCTTGCCTTGGGGCTGCACTAATGGAGCTAATTCTCTGCTTACTTTTCCTGCCATATGGGGAAGGGTTACCTGGGGATGAGTCTGGAACATTATCGTCAGCGTTAGTAATTTGCTAGATGGAAACAAGGGAGCTGTCTCTGAAGACTCAGCGTTACTGCTGACTATCTCCCCCGGTTGCAGTCCCTGAGCAGAAGGTGAAAGAGAGCAAAGGAGGGGGTAAGGGCCCCCAAGAGACTACGGGTTTCTCCAGTGAACGAGCTGAGAACTTTGAAGTAGAACATGCCATCAACGTGGACTTTTTCTTTTCCTCTTCTAGTTCAGCTTATGATACCAAAACAAGACAGAAGGTGGCAGTAAAAAAGCTTTCAAGACCTTTTCAGTCCCTTATTCACGCGAGGAGGACCTACCGAGAGCTTAGGTTGCTCAAGCACATGAAGCATGAGAACGTAAGTGGAGAGTGAGTTCTTTCCCTTCGGATTTTTATGACAAAAGTTTGCAATACAGGCTTAACTTCCGTTAGGTACAATCTTTTTCAAAAAGTATATCCAACTCTCTAGCTATCCAAGATACCTGGGCCTAGCCATCTTACGTGGAGTGAAGTCACTGGACTTCAAAGCAGAGACTTACAGTAAAAGGCTGCCTTTTTACTGAAAAATGATCTAATTTCATCTTGATGATGCAGCTAATGAAATCCAGAACAAGTGGTCCTACTCTTCCCTAACTAAAGTAATAAGTGTGTTCTGCTCACTACTGTTGGATACCCTTGAAACGTCAGTCCAGGAAAAAAAATACCTCAGACCTGCTTTTGCTGAATTTGTATTCTGTTGAGAAATTAAGGGCAGATACTCTCACTGAAATTAACAACAGTGTAATAACTAGATGAAAGGTAGTAGAACTTCAGGGCCCAAATAATTGACTACTATTCTAAGTTTATGTGGCAAACAGTTGATTTCAGTGGGAGTATCCACCTGCTTGAAAGTAACTTGATGAATTGAAGCCTGAATAAAATATAGTGGATTGAAAAGTATCCTGGAGAAATTATGCTAAAAAAGTTAAACAACAACAGAACACGATAACCCATGAAATTGTGCGTAATCTTAAGTATAGCAAGCATACAAGCCATGTGTCAGCTTTTCTGTAACAACGTTACTTTTCCTGCCTTTATTTCTGATTGTCTAAAGTCTTGTTGTAATAACTTTTTGAATTAACATAATTTTCCATTGGTCATGGAGATAGCTGAGGCTATACCTGTATAGAACACCTACTGTGCCAGACATACTAAGTTTTCAGGATGACCATATGTCATATTTTTGTAAGTTCCATCCCAAAAATGCTAAGCACTGTCAATACTAATTACATGTTGCTTTACAGATTTCTAAAAAATAAAATGTCGATTCCCTCATCTTTCAGGTTATAGGATTGCTAGATGTTTTTACGCCTGCAACATCAATAGAAAATTTTAATGAAGTGTAAGTAAAATTTTAAAATAATTCTGACTACTTAGTAATTAAGTACCACTCTGGTTTTAAAAAAGGAAGCACATACTTTTCTAAAAGACTTGCAGCCCCAGTTAGCTTTGTGTGAAGAACCCAAATAAATATTTTTGCAACTTTTCCACAAAAGAGGAGGCAGGAGGATGGGCCTCATTTTTGTACTTTTTCAAATGATACTTAATAAGATTATAGGTGTATGGTAAATGGTTTGATGCTGCATAAATGCCAGTAAACTTGAAACTTTTTCAGTTCAATTACTTGTTAGCTGCAGATTATTTTTTCACAGCTAGATGGGATAGTTCAGGAATGCAGGAAAGTATTCTGTTGGTTAACTGAGACAAGGTAAATTTAGGCTAGCTTCCTGACTAACCTAGGACTGGTGTATTTTGGTGTTACTCAAACGTATGATTTATGCTGAGTTCCTCTTGGTTTACATCATGTATAAGCACTTAGGTAAACAATTTAGCAGAAGAAATAGTAATTAATATTTTTTTGTCTCCATGTAAATTAGCGGCCAAACCCCTTTGGCTCTGGGGCAAAATTACACAAATGAGAACTGGGTATGATAGATGCATACTTTTGTCCCAGCGCTGTTTTTGGAAAAGAATCAACATTTCTGCAAAATTTGTCACAAAATAAAACTTCCAGTGGGGACAAAGAGGCAAGTTACACAAAACACTCTTATTTCAACCAATCCAATGTTAACCTCCATCACCAGATATTCTGGGGCCTTGCAGGTACTGTAGTTTTGGTGCCTCAGACCCCTGCTTTGATGTTGGGTGAGGCTTCCTATTCATCTCAAAATATGATGCGTTCTCCCCTCACTGAGCTGCTGTAGTGTGTCATGGTGAAAACAGAGATAACGGTTTTTAATGTACCGTAAGGATTTTTCTTTTTCATGATGTTAAATCTCACAGCTGTGATTCCATTATTAAAGCTCATATCTGACTTAAAGGGCATAAACTGTGTGTTAGTAGAAAATGGAAAAGGAACCTACATGGGAGTGTGTAGTTACTCTTTAGATGTTCTGCTTTTAGAAGGATTTACATTCTGTCATTCTTAAATGAGGTATGTTTCTTTGTTTTCTTCTCTCTTTTATTTTCACAGGTATCTTGTGACAAATTTAATGGGTGCTGACCTCAATAACATTGTGAAGTGCCAGAAGTTAACGGATGACCATATACAGTTCCTCATCTATCAGTTACTTCGAGGTCTTAAGGTACTGGCTGAACTCAGGAGTTTTAGAGTCAGCAACCGAAATGTTGTGGTAACAACTGGTTCATTGCTCTGACAGTACTTAAACACCTTTTTTTGTGTCTTAAGAGTGCATAGATAGCAGCAATCATTTCCGAAATTATCAGATCATTTTTCTAACCAGAAATAAAACCCTAAGCCTGCCAACATTTACATGCGCAATACATGTGAATACTCCCCTTGAACATTAACTTTAGATTAGTGTCTATTTAAGTTATTATTGAAGGAGAATCACTTGCTATATAGTGCTTAAGTGAACGTGTTCTGTAGCGCACAGTGTGTGTTTTAGACATTTCACCTGTCACAAAAAGGTAGTGAAAAAACTTCTGAAGAACGTGACATTTATAAAGAATGATATGGCAAGTAACTCACATTTGTGCTCTGAAAGACATGAGCCAGTTTGAAAAACGACAGCCCTGATTTTTGTAGAGCATCACATGGGAGAAGAGGTAACCAAGTTAGTTGGGCTCTTTGGGAAATGCCTGGAAGTAGAAGTTTATCCTAGCAATGTACAATGTTGCACACAATCACCTAGGATTTACTCTGCCTGTGAAGTCATTGTTTCCTTTAGTTGTATCAGTTAAAATTCATACAATTAGATAACACAGGCAATTGGCAATGAAACTGTAGCAAAATTTTCTTCCAAAAGAATTAAAATATGTATCGTTTTGCTGACATTAAACATGTAAGTGTCTATAAACAGGAGAAGATGTAGAAAATGCTTCGCATTACTAGGTGATAAGTGTTTTCTCGGACCAGTGTTGATTTTCCCAGGTATAAGCAAAAAGAAAAGAGAGGGTTCAGCTGCTTTGGTAGCTAACTTAACAGTAATTGATATTTTAGGCATGGACAATATGTTTGAAAGCAAGCCATGGTAAATACTGGCTCTGAAATATACTTATTACGTGATTTTCAGCAAGTCACCTTGTGCCTGAGACAGTAATTCTTATTCATGCATGTGGGTTCTGTCAATTTAAGTGCAGATTTTAGTGAATAAAAATTGCAGAACTGAGCCCTTAATTGCTTTGTCTCATTTACCTAAGTTAATAGCTTAATTAGGAAGATGGATTCTGGAGTTAATTATCTAGCTTGCGATTTTGAATATAAGGCTATGTTGTGTCAGGGCTAAATAATAGTAAGCGTTGTGCTCTAAAGGGAATATGAACCTCAGAAACGCACTCAGGTGCATCTCTGGCTCTGTTTTGAAGGGGAGGGGTTGGTGGTGGCGCCTCTCTTCTGGAACTGAAATTCCCATGCCTCATTAGCGGAAGAACGTTCGGTCATACGTAACTCCTCGCTTACATCCGTGCCGGAGCCGTGACGGCGCGTGTTCGCGTACCTGAGGAAGCTGTGGGCTCGCTGGCGGGCGTGCTCAGCAGTACGGAGCGCAGGCTTCGCAGCCCGCGGAAGCCGTCCGAGCAGGCGAAGCGTTAGCCTGCAGCGGCGTAGGTTGGCAGGCTCCTGAGCTGGCTGGTAGAGGACGGCGTGGCGGCAGCGGAGGAGCTGCTGTCGTCCTCTCAGCAGCGCAGGGACGCGGCTGCTCTGTCGCCGGCGGTGGTCTGGTTTCCTCCCCGTTCAGCCGCGAGCAGCTGTTGGGAGGAGCGCGCGGGTGGCCCTGCCCTTCTGACGAACAGCGCGTAGGTCTGGAGCAAGAAGAATGCCCTCGGGTTTTCTTTGGGTTTTCCTAGTTGATATACAGGTTTCGCGTGCAACCTCTGCTCCCCAAAAAGAAGGTGAATTCACCTCTAGAGAATAGAGAAGAAGGTTTTCAAGGTCTTGCTGGTCCTGGTCGGTAAGATCATAGAGAAACTGGCTGTAGATCCTCACAAGTGAACAACAGGCAATTACAGAGTAAGCTTTTCTCGATCTTTGAGTTTTAATGTTTTATGTAAAATAGCAGAGACACTAAATAGCCACTGAAATACCGCTTTGGGTCCCTGCTTTGAAAGTGGACCTGAAGTAATGCTGTGGCTTAGGTGGGTATTTTGGTCACTACCCTCTCCCAGGGTGCCAGTATCTCTCACCCACATTCAGCGTTCGCAGTATGGGAAGGTGACTTACATCATCTAGGAGTCAACCATACTGCTCCCTAGGCCACTGCCTTCACTGAGCCACTAGCTGATCAGCGTGGACATCCAGATAAGACTGGAACAAATTCCAAGTTGGTAAGAAACTTTCAACAGAAGAATCGCTACAAGTGCTGTCTTTTATGGTAGAATCTAGTCCTCAGGGTTACCTCTCTTGAAATATCCAGCTCTGGATGAGACAAAACAAGGAGGTTTTGAAGTTCGTCATAGCTCTGTTTGATCTGAAAATGTAGTGTGTCATAAGTCTTTTCTGTACATAAAACAATCAGTCTCAGAAGTGAAAAGATATGACACGTGACTTATACCTTCCTTCACCTCTAACTTCAAACCTTACCTTTTTTTTTTTCTTTTTGTTTCACAGTATATTCACTCAGCTGGAATCATCCACCGGGTGAGTTCACTCACTGCGATAATAAAAATGAACAGAGTGTGTCCCTCTGTGCATCAGATGTGTTACTAAGACATAGTTATAATATACTTTAAAAGGTTAAAATCGTACTTGACTAACTGTGTTCTGCTACAGGACCTGAAGCCCAGTAACCTAGCTGTAAATGAAGACTGTGAATTGAGGGTACGTATCATGCTGTTGTAAAAGCTCTCCAGATGACAGTTTTCTGAGAAAACATTAGCTACCATTTTTATTTCTGATTCCATTAATTTCAGCTGTTTGCTACTGTTGATCCCCTGGCATAGAAGACCCACTTCGATGAACATGGGTTTTTCTTCCAAATGTTAATTTAGTATGAACACAAGTATCTCTGCAAAATGTTCATCCCTAGTTTGTGGCAGATGGTACATAGGCTAATAATTTGGCCCATGAGTACTTAACTGAGTATATCTTGGAAGTTTGACCTGTAACATGTATCTGCATCTGCCATGTTTAGATGAAGCCTTGTAACAACTTTCATTTTTATATCTATAGAATATACAATCTAAATTAAATAATGATATGAAAAAGGTACCAGTATTACCAGTTGCATTATTAGTTGCAGGCAGTAAAAAAAAAAACCAACCCTGTAATCCACACTTCTCAAATGCTATTTTCACGTACATGTCTATATAAATACATATCTTTGTGTATCTGTGTGATACGATGTTACATAATAAGCATGAGGCTCTGGAGAAGGAAAATAGGTCTTCTAGCTTTCTAAGCCTTTAAGCCTAAGAATGAGAAGTTTAGCATTTTTCCATGACAGCCAGAAACATCTTTCTCCCTGTGACTGAGACACTGATGTAATCACTTTATTCCAGCTGCGAGGGATTTAAGAAAAGATTCCAAATACTACCAGATCAGCAAAAAAATCACAATAGTGAATAACAGCAGTGCAGTTAGGTTCTCGCACTAATCCGGATCTGTGGTGAGAAACTGTAGTTCCTGTTTGGTTTAGTGACACTTGCAGATGCTCAGCAAGTTTCATGATTATCCCTTTAATGTCTTCATGCATGTATGTTCAGCATCTGTGAAATTTTATGGGTCATCTGGGTCTGATCATGCACTCTAAAATGTGTGCTGTATTTTTGTACTGGAGGTAAAGGAGACTTTTAATCTTTTTTTCTATTATTGTGGTATCTGTGTACCTCCCTCCTAGCATTTGTTGCACTGCTCTTTGCTTTGTTTATATTTATAGCTTTACTTCCTCTGATACCAAATTATTTTCTAGTAGAACAAACTAGTGGATATTTCCCTGTACAAACAAAAAGGAAATAGAAGCAAAAAGAAGGAGAACGTGTGTACACATTTGATAGAAGGGATCAGCTATTAAAGAAGAATACTGCCAAAACCCTTATAAAAATAAGGGCATTAGTGTTTGAGTTTCACGCCATTATTCATGCCTTGTTTGCCTCATACTTTTATTTTTGCTTATTTAAGAAATAAATAATGCTTTTAAAGTATATTAGAAGTAAATGTTAACATGTTATTTATACCTTAATATTTTTCTTTAGGCTTTTTATATCTTTAAATTGGATTATAACTGAGGAATTTTGAATTATGCTCTTAAAATTTTTTTATTCCCAATGATAAGGATTAGCTATCAGCTTAATAAATAATCCTGGATCTCATCATGGGAGGTTGCCACTGATCTTAATTCACATTTCTATTTGAAGAGATGCTAACTAGCTCAGATGACTGATTTAACGAACAGCACTGAGGCTCACTCAGATGGTACCCTTTCACAGCAGTCTCTCTTAGAGTTAGGGATACCTTTTAGCTCTATAATTAGTGGGACATACACTAATCAAAAAATAGAAAGCAAAGAAATGAGCAGGAAAAATTGAATTGAAATAACTTCCTGTCAATGTACTTAGCAAGGGAGAGCGTATGGAAGGGAACATTTTGCTATCAAGCCTATGGGTAATCTGTGAACCTAAACAGCGTTCCTTTGTTGTTTCGGGGGAGAGTTCTACCAAAAACAGATGGTATGTGATTTAAATCTACCTTGTTACTCAGGATATATGTTTCTCTCCTATTGGCATTGGAATGACTCGTGATTGGGGTAAATACTTAGATAGACATGAGAGGGAAACAACAGAAATTCTGCAGATTTGTGGTCAGCTCATGTGGTGCTTAAAATGGCCAGTGGCACTCACCGTTGGCATTTTACACAAACATCCCTGTTGATAGTGTTTCATTTTTTATAGCAACAGTGCTTATTTTTAGCAAATGAATGTCAGTGGAAAATTGAACTTGAGGCAAAATGTAAAGTTTGCCTTAGAGGACAAAGAGCCAGGCTCATTGCAGTGGAAGCATTTTTATGCAGACCCGTAGGCTGCGGGGATGCAGCAGGGAAAGTGGACGAGCTCATCCACAGTGTTGCTGGTTTACTTTATTGATAGTGAGAGACTACGGATAAACTCAGAAATTAGTAATGGGGAAAATCAGTACCTATAACAAAAGTGAAAAGGGATTTTTAAAATTTTTTTTTATTTTATTTATTTTTCTTCTGTAGATTTTAGACTTTGGTTTAGCTCGACAAACTGATGATGAAATGACTGGATATGTTGCAACAAGATGGTACAGAGCTCCAGAAATTATGTTAAACTGGATGCACTACAATCAAACAGGTAAACTGTGAAGACTTGCATTTTGCTACAGCTGGATATAGTGATCGTTTTAAACCAAGAGGCAGCTCTGTTTAAGGATCTCTTTGATTCATCGTACACTTTTCTCTCTCTGGCTTTTGGCAGTTGACATCTGGTCAGTTGGATGCATCATGGCAGAGCTGTTGAAAGGGAAGGCCCTATTTCCAGGAAATGATTGTATCCTTAACATAAAACATAAAATGCAGCTATAAAAATACTCTCTAATTCCTCCTTTTTTTTCTAATGACTTGAGTGTTTCTATGGAAATGTTTTTGGGGTAACAAACTTCTAAAACAGTAAAAATTTTTGCTAATCTTTCAATTTAGTGTATATGACACCTGAATATGAGACCCACTGGTAGGAAAAAAAAACAGTAACAGATGTTCCTAAACAACAAGTTACATTTATTCTTTGTTGTGTATCTGTATTTAAATAATAACCTAGTTACAACAGAGCAGATTTCTTCCATGTGTGTATCTTACTGAAATAACATACGTTAAAACTGAAGCTGAGTAAAGGCAATGTTTTTTGATCGGCTAATACAATTTAAAAAAATAGAACTGCTTTTAGGCTGGAAGTCTCTAAAATACAAACAAATTAACTCTTAAATAATAAGTGAATTAATAGGCATATTGTGTCCTGTTATAAAAAAAGCCAGCAGTTCCAGAAATGCCACAGGAGGAACAAAACCCTCTCTTTTCTTCAGTGCTGTGCTGTGGTCCCTGCTGGAGTGTTCAGGGGTTTCCATTGGCGCTTCCTGTGCTGGCAAGAGAAAAAAAAAAGAGCCGTTGCTGAGGAGAGCAGTAAAATAATAAAAGAAAACTGAAGAAAAACACATAATGAGGAATGAGGAAACAACTGCATCAGAGGAGGAACGCTTTTAATATGGGAAACAAAAGCACATTCTTCTGTACGGAATATTGATGTTTCTCACTATGCTGAAACCCCTCAAAAAGCAAACACTTCTGCTAAAATGACGCCGCTGCCAGGTGCAAAATAACGTGACGTTAGAATTGCCTGAAAAACTGTTGAGAGCTGAGAGACTAAGTCTCCCTGTTGACCTTTCTATTGTGCTCAGCATCATTAGGTGCTATTGTAACCACAGGCATTGTCCAGATGTTCATCATCTGGATGATGGCTGTGCTTCAGACTGACTGATTACATGATATGAGGTATTTGGAAAAATCAATACATCTGGTTTTCAAGAAATAAGATATTTTTTGCTGTTACAAAATATTGTCTACAATTATATTATTACATCAATTTAAATAAAGCCGTAGAATAACCTCGAGTCTCTAGGAAAAACGTAATATATTTTACAGGTCATATATGACAATGAAAAATTAACATTTTCAAAACAGATTTTTAAAGCTACCAAATAAGAATTTGGCACTTACCAGCCCTCAGATTAGTAATCTAGCCCTGTGTGCTCTATCGTATTAGCCTGTTCTTCAGAAGTCCCTCAGATCACTGAAACATAAATGTCCTGTTAAAATTAAGCTTAAGAATATCTTAAATTGGTAACTAGGACAGGAAAGCAATATTTTGCATGCACCTTTCTCACATACAGGCGCATCTGACAGATTCATGTAGTACAATAGAGAATTTGATACTCAGAACTAGGTTTAAGCAGGAATGAATTGGTATCCTTCCATGGACTATGATGGAATTGTCTTGCTGAATAGTTTTAAACATCTTAACTATCTGCATGAAAGCTCATTAATTGTTTAAACCCAGAAGGACCATGTGCTCTTTATTTCCCTGAAATAACGCAGATATCGATCAACTAAAAAGAATAATGGAAGTTGTGGGCACACCCAGTTCTGAACTTCTGAAGAAGATATCATCAGAACATGTGAGTTCACAGCTTCATTCGGTTAACTGACATTCTATCATTCTTTTCTCTAATTGTCATCGTATGTCATTGCTTGTGTTACACAGATACTCTGATTTGGAAATGAGCGAACACTTTAAAATGATCTCTATGCCACCATTCAAAAAATATTCTTTTTAGAGGTATCCAAATGCCTTGACTGTCAGCTGGATAATTTTGACAGTTGTTCTCATGTACTCAGTTTTTGAAAGGGGTTTTGCAATTGGTTCTGATGATCTTTTATTGTGCTGCTATACTTATAATAAAAAAATTCGAACTGATGCTCAGCTCAGAGCATTATATTCTTGCTATTAAATCTGATGTCTCTGTAATTTTTATACTTTCTGTTGCTGTAAGGGATCTAAACAGAGATACTAGAATCAAATAATGTGTGTTCTGCACAAGTGCTCTTATATGGATCCCTAATTTGAAATTCATATTTATTCATCTCTCTGAATGTTTGTAGTGTGAGGTCTGCTTTCATGATATCTGTAGTTAACAGTGTGATTTTTGACTTTCCATATGACTTCTTTAAAAAAGTAATCTAGTAAATGAACAATTTCCACTTTGTTTCTCAGCTAAAGCTACACTTAAAGGATTCACTTTAAGCAATAACCATGGATAGCCAGCTGAGGAATGAGATGGAGTATTGATTAAGGCAGGTGATGGGCACAGTGTAAAAATTCAGATAAACAACAGCACACAGATACCTCCTGAGCTGAAGCTGAAGCTTAAACCTTTTCTGTATACACCTCAGACTAATATTAATGGCTGGTTTTCAGCTTGTGTGTATATTGACGGGTTTTCTTTGAACTTATTAATGAATACACTAGTGGGTTAAGTTAGCAGGAGCAGTAGGAGAGCCAGAGCAACACTGGATTTCTGGAAGGTCCAGGGATAACAAAACCTCATCAGCACAGGCCAATGCACAGCCCCAGAGTTTGTGGGTACTCAGCACCTGGGAATGGCCGGGGCAGGAGGAAGATCCGTCCTTGTGCCAGGGACTGGATCAACCAGCAACTCTCAGACTGTGCCATCCTAAGTGTAGGTCCTTGTGTAGCCTCACAGGTCCTTGTACAGCCTTTATGTGTTATTAAGATCCTACAGTTTTTGTAGTAACGTGTTCAGAGTAGCGTATACAAATGTGTGATTTACCCACAACTAGTCAGTTTGTGAGCTTTTTGATTACGAGATTAAGCATCTTAAATATTTACTGAAGATAGTATCTGCTTTTGTCTTTAATTTCTTGTGTTTCAGAGCATACCTCAGTGAGCTACAGGAATGCCAAAACTGTTTTACTGGGGCTAATTATACCTTCAGAGCACAGGGAGAACACAAAAGCCAAGTTAATGATTGGGAGTGCTGCTAGGTCACCTCTGGGCTGCTGCTGCCTCGTTAGAGGAGCAATATCAAAGATACATACCTTGCTTGGAGGTACTTGCCTCTTGCAAGGGAGTGTCTATTCTATTCCTTCATTCTAGTTCTTTACCTTGTAGTTTGGCCTTATTGTTTAGATATTTCTTAATGCAGCTTTCAGTCCTGGACAATTTTTTCCATTCCTCTAGCAGCAAGGTCAGAGGTTTTCTGAAATGCCAAGCCTATTTTCAGTTATAAGTAGAGGATTAAAGAATTGGAAACTAAATGATCAACCTCATGGGATGTGTCAGCACAAGTTACTGAGCTGTTTTGTCAGTCTTTCATGTTAATACGGGTTTAAATGGTTATTGCATCTCATTACTTTCAGAATAATTTAAATGTTTGGATTCTATTGGTTGGGTTTCTGTGGTGACTATATAAGCAGAGGGAAGAGGTTGGTAAGTATACTTTGATGGGTCTGTGTTGTTTTCAAAGGACTTCTGGGCAAGGTTGGAGATAACTTTGGCTGTATCTTTTTCAGTCATGTTTGGATTAGTGATGTTAATTGATGTCTGCACAGAAACAAAAAATCCACAAATCCACAGATGTTTGTCATGAGATAAATTTACCTCTTGTTTCTACCCTAGTCCGTAGCTTCCATGCAAGAATGTATGACAGCCCTCTTTTCCTGTGCTGTTCATACGTATGTATAAACCAATGCCCTGGAAGACTTAACTCTGATAGGAGCTGCGCACCCTGACCTTCTAGCAGGTGTTTGCTGCCTTTATGAACTTTAGGGGCATAAAATAGGTGGAGTGAAGCCTGTGTTTGACTAGTCTTCAAACATCATTCTCTGCATGACTGGCTACAGCTGCTAGGAAGAAATCATCCTTTTAGAAAGCCTTGCTGTCAGCCCATAGAATAAAAAGGGAAGATGCTAATACAGTTTTAACAGGTTGGGAACATAATGCATGAAGGCTTGCTTCTTTTAGTAAGACTCTGAAATGTGTCACTAATAGGAGTCTGTAGTTTTGATAGAATATACTTACATCTTACAACAAGCAGAAAAAATAAATAGATCTGCCTCGTTAAATTAGAACACAGTTTGAAAAGAGACTGTGCTATGTAATGATTTAAAATATCTTTATATCAGTTCATCATAGCTGCAGAAATTAAGATGGTGGCAGACGGAACAGTGTAGGGAACAGGATCTGTTTCCCATGTGTAGCTGTAGGATTGCACAGATGATATGTCAGAGTATTTTATAGTCACTTCATGATAGTCCAGAAGATAGTTCCACAATTCTCAATCTGGTATCTCGTTTGAAGCCATGGAGCTGCTTGGGATGAACACCTTTATTTCCTTTGCTCTCTTCACTAGGCCAAGAATGCTTAGTTAGCCTCCTGCAGATAGTCTTCTAACAGGATTGCTAAGTGTGCAGGGAGACATCCCAGTAACACGAACATGTTTTAAAAGGATTAAGGTTTGTTCAAAGACCAGCTGGATTTTTTACAGAGCTGGGGACAGCTATTTGCTTCTTCTTTAACTGTTCCATTTCAGAAGTCCCTGTTCTGTCTGATCCCAGCCCTTAGGACCAGCATTCAACCTCTTCTCTTGCTGACCTATCTACCTCAGCCCAGAAATCCGTAGCTCACGTAATGTCAGGCTCCACGCTGACATTTGTGGGTCTGATATGTGGGTAGGCTTTTCCTATCTGAGTTTGTATGAGCCTTTCACAGCCACAGTGATAAGGCAAGCTATAAATTCTGTTAAACATCTGACGATCTGCACCCTGGGAGTACAAGGATTTATTCTTTGGTTAGTGAAGCTACTGTTTGACAGAGGAGAGAGAGGAGGGAGGCACGCGGATTGGAATATACCACTTCACTGAGGGTAACTGAATGATCATTTAGGTTGCAATTTCTGGTTGAATGTTACATGCATGTGCTCCCTGGGGATATACTGCAATGAACCAGTAAGCTCAGGTGAAAACGTTAAGTGTGAATGCATAAGCCTTAGAGGAAAATATACCCATTTAAAACTCTCTTGCTTATTGTGCAATATATAGGAGTGACTGTTTAAAACAAAGTCATACATTATGGTTTTATGTAAAGAAGGTTTCCCATGTATAAGAACGTAAAAAATATTATGTCTGGTTTTTTAGAGTTGATATGGTTACTGTTGGGCAACATTTAACCTCTGTGCATGTGGTATGTATATTGATTTATTCCTAGGCAAGAAAATACATTGAATCTCTTCCACATATGCCTCAACAGGATTTGAAAGCAGTGTTTCGTGGTGCCAATCCATTAGGTAAGAAAGTCAGCCTGATAATAGATTAAATTTTTCACTAACATAGGAACTCAAGCCTTCCTTTGCTATTTGAGCCCATATAATAATGATCAGACCAGCAAGAAGAGCATTGCTTAACCTTTCATCCTGAGATTGTTTTCCATTCATGAAGCCTGCCTCTTTGGTTTCTGGGGGAACCTCCTAAAGGAAAACAGTCTGTGGATGAAAAGCAAAAGCCATCTATGTATAGCAGGAATAAATAAAAGCGTCATGGGGTCTAGATTAGAGACATCACTTCTGGCTCAAGAAGGCCATGAGCTGTAAATTGCTAGCGAGCAGAAGAATATACTGGGAAGAATAGCTGCTTGAATGGCCCTTTTGAGTATTATTTCCTAGGAATATATTAGCCATTGTTGGACACAGGATACCGGGCTAGAGAGACCTTTGGTCTGATCCTGCACAATTGTTTTTATGTCTAACCAATTGGTTCTGCCTGTCCAAAAGAGATTTTTCTGCGAATGATTTCTTGTGACATGGCAAAGGAGACGTTTGAGTCACCAGAGTCATCTTACTACAGTGCCTGGTCAGTTCCATTGAGTGCACATTAAAACACTGTATATAGGGAAGTATTAGGAGTTAAAATATATTGAATTCGTTCTGTGTATTAAAAGACAATTTTAGTTTTACAAATAGAAGTAGCTGTGAACACTTTCTTATAAAAAATGGGATTATTTGTGTGATGTCCATGACAGCATGCTACATATTAATATCATAAAGGCAAATTAATGACAGTGCTTATATGAAAGCACTAAAAATCATTTTTATATATTTTTTAAACCATTATGATAAACTTTCCATATAAAACCAATTTCAACCGTACAGATCTCTCTCATTTCTAATATTCTGCAACTGTCAACTTCAAACATGTTTTCTTTATGCTGGGTCCTGTAAAGTTGCTTTAGGATCCGGACCAAGTTAAGCACATGATGCACAACACAGGATATTTAACTTTTACGCACACAGAGATCTTTTCAGAATGAAGGTCTTGGATGTCTGAAGAGGTGAATCAGATATCAAATAGACTATAATGAACCTTCATGCATACCACAAGCAAACCAGAAGCTTCCTTCAGCTCTGAAAATTGTACTCATAGTATAAAATCTTCAAAACTTATTTGTTACATTGCCTAAATTTTGTGGGTTTGCCAATAATGTTAACTGTGTTTAAGGTCAGTGAGAATAGATTGTGTGTAAAGAGTTGCCTTCTCTATTTTTAGATGGTCTCTTCTGGCTTTGCACCACATTTCTCTTTTTCCCTTAGCTGTAGATCTTCTTGAGAAGATGCTTATATTAGACAGCGATAAAAGAATTACTGCCTCGGAAGCACTTGCTCATCCATACTTTGTACAGTATCATGATCCGGATGATGAACCTGAGGCCGAGCTGTACGATGAGTCAATAGAGAATAAGGAGCGAACCATAGATGAATGGAAAGGTAACAGAATTGCACACAGTAGTTAATACATGCAGCAGAACAAAACTATCCTTAAATAACAGTTTTCCTCTGTTTCTAACCAGAACAATTTGAACTCTTAAGCCTCGGGGAAATAAGATAAGTCTATGTGTGTGCCTGTGGGAGTGGAGAGGTAGAAAGGGTTGTGTTCCCTCTCTAGATTTTGCTCCCTTCCCCCATTCTATCATCTCCTCACTAGATTTCCTATAGCGGGTTTAATCTTAACTAAAAGCTGATGCTAGTTACCACATAACCACACATGCTGTCTTGCTTTTAGTTTTGTAGGTCAGATCCTCAGCTGAAATAACTGTCCTAGGGCAAGTGACACTATTTCGGATTCTGGTGTAGCTTTGTTCAGAATCAGAAATGAGTATTTTTCGACATAGATGTGTATTTTGTTAATTGTTGTTTAGATAACCAAGTAATTGGGATTAACAGATAGACCATGCTATTGATCCTATTTGAGATGAGAGTTGATGATTTTACTTGGGAGTGACACCATAAAACCCATCCTTGAGTAATACTGCAACAACCTTGTTTTATTAGTTAATTCCATGCTTGCATCATGATCATATTGCACTACAGTATCACGGAAGTAAGGTGGCTAAACGTTAAGTTTGCAAGTACGCTGAAATGTACAGTCCAATTTCATCATTGTCTAATGAGGACATACTAAAAATTCCTTACTAGGCATTTTAAATTGAGAGCAATGTTCTAGAAAACTAATTGTTCCTGTTTATCAATAAAGTCCTCTCCGTGGCTTAAGATGAAAAAAAAATATAAATATATATATATAAAATAAATATTCTTCTGTTTCTATCTGTATATTCTGTAAGTTTTACTCCAGAAACGTTTGATAAAAATGTATTAGCATAGTGGGTAGGTTTATGATGAAAAATACTGACTTCTCATGTCTCACTCATGCCCTTCCACTTGTGCCATGTTTTATCCTGGGCGTTGCAGGCGAGACAAGCAGGCCGACTACAGCAAATACATCTTAGAAAGATAGGAGCAGGGTGATGGGTCTCTCTACAATAAAGCAAACTCCTAGAGCCCTGAAAAGGGTTTTCTGGAAGCCTACTACATCTGTACAAACAAGCAGGATTGACTGGTATCGCTTACTCCTTACACGTGCTCTCTTCTGCAAAACCTGGCAGCATACAGCACCACCCATACATCTTGTTTATTGAGGGGCATGTTCAATTTGCTGCTGTACTTACAAGTGGATGATTTGTTTTCTGCTACTTTTGCAGTTGACGGAGTCTTTAACAGGAAAGTTTAACAATTTCCGAGTCATGAAGTTGATTTCTGTTTGTGATGAAACTCCGTTGAAATTATTTCAGGAACAATCTTAGCTTAACACTTTCTGAACTGAAATGAGGAGGTGGAGGTGAATTCTCTAGGATGGACAGTATCATATTTTTCTACATCACTGTCCTTGCTGGAACTACAGGCCAAATTCCTTCTTTTATAGAGGGTGGGGAAAAAAGGCCTGAGACAAAAATCTCAAAACTGGCACAGGACATGCAGCTCTTCCTCCTGGCCATGTTTTTATTTTGGGGAATAAACTTTTTATTTTCAAGCACAGTATGTGCCACATTTAAGTAAAATGACATGAAAGGTGACCATTCACATAAAATGTTTGCATTTTTGATAAAATATTGAGCCAGTTTCTCAAGATGTCAATGGCGTATTTCCCCTCTTTTTCTGTTCAAATTAAAAATCAGTGGCTCTTGATCCCAAGGGGGACTGAGCACCAAAGTAAAATGAGATTTCAGACAGTCTTACGTGTTGTGCACTTAAGAGTTTCCTTGGCCTCCACTGCACACTGCTGAGGCTTGCAGACCAAGCTCATAGATTTCTTTCTGACATGTTTAATCAGCTAGAAAATATTTCAAAATTTTAGAGGCCAAGAGTAGGCTATTCAGAGTTGAATGCTATGCACTATCTCTCCTTAGCTGTTGCTCCAGTTGCACATATCTCAGCGTAACATCTGTACTCTCTGCTGAGCAGGTGGCACAAGAACCGGGTTAGGAGCTTCATAAACATACCATGCATGGCCAGCAGGAATAATTCCTAAAACAGTTCCAGGTGTCCGATTTGTGAGGACACTGGCTTCCTCTGAGCTCAGTCAGGACCACTCTAGCTCCTAGCTGGCTGCCTGTGACCAGATGCTACTTAATAGCCGCAACTCAATCACTGGGAGTCACCTAACGAATCCTTCCACCTCAGGGGTTCTGCACACAGAATTTCTTTCAGAGAAATCCTTCACTGAAGCTGGCATGCTGGTCACTGTATGCCATGCTACAGCATAAGAGAACCAGAGCGTAAGCAAGATTCAGCCTGAAGATTTTTACATACTTTTTAGAGGAGTGCTAGGTCCACTTGCAGGTGTGGCAGCTGTCTCAGACAGATCTGTTTAATAAACAAGCTAATAGGCACAAGTTTGATATGATTTAAACATCACTGTTTGGAAAACAGAACCTGAAGTAATGCATTGTTAGCCATATATTTATGCGTGAACAGGATTTGGTCCTTAAAATACAGTATCTAACTTGAGAAAATGCATAGGAGGTAGCAGCTGATGACATACTCCATTACTGTGCAAGGCACAAAACAGGACGTGATTGTCAGCGTGACAGGATAAAGGGCTAGAGCAGGGTAAAATAGCAGGGAATCCATGTTTCTAGCTAAGCCCTTCATGATGAAAATAGAACTGTTACATGCTTCTAAGACAAAAGACAATTTTTTTAAGAGGACCTTAAAATTAAGTTAGTTACAATAAAACATGAAAAAGCCCAAAACCTAGATCCCAAGGCATTAGCACAGAATTGCGAGTGATTTATGTTGAAGGCAATTGACTGAGAGATGATAAAGAACATTCTCCGCAGTTAAAAGTGTACATTTTAAAACCTGTTCTGGTGCTTTTAAAGATTCCATTTTCCATTGCATTTTGTCTTCTGTTACGTCATTTTGGCAGGTCATCTGACAGCATAATTGATGTTTCCATTTCAGGGCCTGTGTGTTTTAGTAATTAGCTGAAGGGGACAGACATGTTGTACAATAACAGTATTTGTGAGTCTAATTTGTAATCTGAGGTTAACAGAAGGATTCCTAGTGAATTCAGTCTATTTTTGGATCTGGACTCTAAAAAGGCTGGGAATACAAACTAGAAGTCACATGCATCCATAGAACTGTTTTCTCTGGAGTATTTTTCTTTTTAAGAGAGTATCACCTAATTCTTTTCTCTCCCTTACACCCTCTCTACAGAACTTACCTATGAAGAAGTGATTAGCTTTAAACCCCCCGACTTAAAAATGGATAGCCTGGAGATAGAACAGTGAATACAGGCAGCTCTCTTGCCTTGCTGCACTAGGAAGACTGTTAAAATATAACCATACAATTTAACCTGTGGTCAGACGTAGATTTTACTATCCAAAGATGTTGGAGAAGATGTGGAAAAGCAGATGCATTATACAGAAGCCAGATGTTGTCCATTTTGGGGGGGGAGGGGGTTGCCTTGTAATATGAATGTATTCCCAACTCACAAAGGGTGATAAAGAACTGCTTCAATCTGACAAAATTATGCACTGAGTTCTGTCAAGCTGTGTTCTGCATGTTTCATTTTATCAGTTGTATTGCCAAAATAAAGGTGACTTTTAAAATTTATTTTAAAATTGTACATTTAAAGCATGAACATATACAAACATAAACATAGACGTCCATACAAGCAATCAGTTTTTTTCTGGCATTTTATCTGTCCATTTTCATATTATTTATAGTTAGTGCCTTTATGAAGAGAGGGCGTGGTAGTGAGATAGACAGAATATGCATATGTAGTCATATCTGTGGTGGTCTTACAAATTTACTGGATGTCTCTCAAGCAATCTTAACACCAGTTGAAAGTCAGTAAAAATAAATCTTTGTCTTCTGTTGCCATTCAAGTGTCTGTTTTCATTATTTTTTTAATCTGCACAATACCCATTTGTGAGACGATTTTACTTCGCGATAGTACTCCTAACCATGCCATCGGTGGAGTGCTGGTGAACTTACCCAAGTTTACAAGAAGGTGCCCTGAAGGCACTGCAGCAGATCTTTGTAGTCTTCTGCAAGCTTCAGCAAAGGCTGTCACAGATGGCGGTGCAAGAGAACTCAGTTCAGTTCAGAGCTTTGAATTCAATATTCCTCATTGTCTTATTTTCCTTCACATAATCCTTGGGAAAATAGTCTAATAATTGCCATTAGAAGACATGACAAAACAGGAAGATTTAAGAATTTGTTTGTGAAAAACAAAATATCCGTCTCCTCAGGGTTTCTTTTTAAGCAAAATTTTAAAGGCTTTCCAGCTCTGAAAAGTTGGAAAAATTAAATAATAAATTGCAGGATACACCAGATGCTGAGATTTCTTAAAGAATTAAATTTATCTGATTTCCCCATTGAAGGCATAATACTGAAACAGGAATATTCTTTGGCATGAGGCCTCATGTAGTGTACTGGCTGTGTCTTTCTACATACTTGTGATTCACAGTTGTTCAATGTTGTTCATTTTTGTGTCTTGTTCTTGCTCTGTCAGAGTCTTACTTTGGTGATGGCTTTTTATAATATTTAGGTTTTCTGCAACCTTTGTCATTAAGATTCAGTTGTACAGCTATTACATGAGGTAATGAATTCTACTGCATTTATTTACCTTCCTCTGTATCTTTTCTATGTAAAAAGAAAAGCTTTTTCTTAATAAACAGATTTTTTTAAAAAATCAAGTCCAAGAACTTTGGTTTTTCAGAGATACTTGATACAGTATTGTTTGTTGTCTTTGAGAAATAGAAATAAGCACTCCATCTAGAAAATGTGCTCCTAATTTATGGACTAAGTAGCGGACTGTTGTTGATAATGTTGGCCAGTTACCCGATATCTGCATCCAGTGGAATACAGCCACTTGTATTCAACTTTCTGCAAGGCACATTAAGCTGAAAGTAAATGCCTGCGTGGATTTCTTGCAAGTCCTCGGAAGTGTTGTCTGGCCATCATTACTTCGGCTTCCTACAAAGCAGGATGAGGCCTGTAATGGTCATGCAACGACTGAATTTCACGCTGACTAAAAAAGGTGAAAAGATTATAAATGCTTAAATTATTTGTTTTGTTTACCAGTTAACAGAAAACTAGCTCAGTGCTTTATTGTCTCTGAAATCTGATAATGAGCTTGCTAGCCTGTTCTGCAGCTCTGTTCCAGCTGAAAGGGGAAAGATGAAGAGATTTCACAAGACCCTCCTGCATCCAATGATAATTAATTTATTGTGGGATTTGTCCCATCATTTGTTTAATCTGGTTTCCTGGCTGTGAGGGTGGCCGTCACCAAATGCTTCAAAGGATATGTAAATCTCTGGTAGGCAAAGACCAGGCAGTCTGCTCTTGCCATAGCTCTGCTACTTGAGGTAGAAAGAAAGTTTTATATCACTTCCAAAGTTTGTTCTTCTGGCAATTCTGAATCTTCCTCTGAATATTTCCTTTTACATTCAAAGATGTAATTTTTTCTAGTAGATAAATTATGTAGGAAGAATACGGTCATAGCCGTATTTAAACTAATCAAAGGTGACAGTAATGGGTAACAAGAGCTCAGCTATTTTTAATGAAATACCATCAAAACCCATAAATCATCTCATTTTAATGTCAAGAAAAACAGTAGGGAGAGAGACATCTTCTTCCTAGATTTGCAAAATGAAGGCAACTTCTTAGACCGCAAAAGCCACTAATTAAAATATTTTTCTAGAGCAGATAACCAACTCCCTTGTGGGACTGCAACATGGTAAATTTATCAGTTTACAACAGCAGGACAAGGTAATTGGAAAGCTGGTACCCCACTGGGACAGAAAGGTGGAAGGCTTAGCACTAACAATGCTTATCATTTGAACACAGATGGAAAAAACCATTTGTCAACCAACACAAAACAGGCGAATGGAGGTAAACATCTAGGAGTGAGGGCTTTGTCAGGCTTAGTGAACCTGTAAGGCAGATCCCTTAAAAGTAAATTTTAAAGAGTAAATAAATATAAAAGTAAGGATTTTATTTTATAAAAATTTATTTCCTATAAATGTCTTTAATGAAGGCATTGTTTATATGGCCCAAATTTTATTTGCAAAACTTGTAGTGGAGCCTGCTTAAACTGTGGGGTTTTAATCTCCTGACACGACTCTTAATCTCATTATTACAATTGTGCTTTTCTAGGTCCTCTACACGTTGCATGTACATTTGAGGACAGCGTCATAGGTTTTAGCCCACACTAAATTAGGGTGCTTATCACTCCTGCAGAGCGCAGAAGGGATGCTCAGAGGAGCACAGCTGGGCGATGCTGGCGGAGGAGGTGGCTCAGGCTTCCACTGGGGGAGAACACAACTCTCCCAGGGCTTTCTCTGGTTAATTGCTGTCATTGTTAACAATTTACTTCTAATCTGAATTTACCTAATTTCAGCTTTCAGTCACAAGAGATTGTTATCCCTCCAGCTACTGAAATGACTTCTAGTATTTATTGTCTCCCTCTATAATCAGTGTTAAATGCAACCCTAAGTCTAGTAATTTTATCATCACTGGAAGCAAAAGGTCTTGCAAAAGGAAAAAGAAGTCTTTTGCATACATCTCAGTCTTTTGACATGCATAAGTATCCACTACACTTCTTTTAAAATCTGCATCTTTATTTTTTAAGCTCTCTACCTCATCAGCACTGAAGCCCAAAACCAGAAATAAAGACAAGACTAAAGAAATCTCTAATTTACAATGTGCAAGAAAAAACATGGGTGGTTTAGAGGAAGAGCACAGTGTTGGAGGGTATCACATGCAGACACAGAATTCCCTCCTTCCAGAACTTACAAAGTAGCTACAGAAGTATGAAACAGCAGGGTTACTAATGTTACTAATAACTTTGGGCATTTATAGGGGGAAAAATAATAGGAAATCAGGCAATCAACACTGATATATGAAAAAATACATCATGCACCAGTAGAGCAAGAGCCATTAATTACACAGCATTGTGGCAGAATTCCCATTAGTGCTCTTGGCATATTTTTGATGTGGTGCAAAAGATGAAAGCAAGAGGGAAGGAGGGTCAGTACGCTGCAGGATCTGACACAGCGAGCTCACCCCAGGGACAGGAGGGGACAACCCTTGCAAGGACAAAACGCTGGCAGCAAAAGCACCTTTGACAGACGTGGGGAGCAGTCAATACAAAAGCCACTTCCTTCCTTTCTTCCCATCACGTGTGCTCCTGAAACATAACAAGAAAACAGATCTCCACCTTCCCGACTCTCAGGACCTGGTCAAAGATGAATCTGTTCAAAAAGTACCATATTCAGCAACAGGCACAAATATTTAAGTCTCATTATTTAAGTGCTACATCTGTAAATTGCTGACTTGGCCCAAGAATCCCTGACAGATGAGCAGCGGTAAAGATTTAGCTCTTGCTAAAAGAGAATTGCACTGTAAATTAGGTAAATTATGTCCTTTGGTAGCAGCAGAAAGGAATTCAGCCTTGGCAGGATCGGTGTCCTTAGGAAGGAATTAATAGCAACACCTCTGTTGGCTTTAAAAGCAGCTGCTTTCTCTTACACATGAATTGTGTTGCTATTGTTTATGAATGTAGCGCAACTCTATAAAGCTGGTCCTTAGAAAATCAGCATACTTGCACAAGTGAGAGTACCAAGTGTCATTAATTTATGAGTCTAGGCAAAAAGCATAAGGGTTTTTAAGGGACTAGTACCAAGAGACTCAGAAAGCTGCATTAGTGTAGCTGCCACTGACCTTCTTTCTGCTCTAAGATAAAATATTGAACTGATATGCCTAAAAGGGTCTACGTTTTCACTACAAGGAGGGAATATATTGTGAGATTCCTATGCACACACTATTCTTCTAACCAATCCCGACACTTAATCCATTAGACGGGAAATTTCTTACATAATGAGCAAAACTGTTCCACTAGGCTTCAATCTTGCATGCATACAGATGCTTCATTTTGCACTTGCATAGTCCCCCAGCTTCAATTATTGTCACAAATTAAGATGTGTATTGTAGCACAGAGGTTTTAGCTAGTCCTTTTGGGTTCCAATTTGATCACAAGTAATACTGAACGCAGTAGAAATACTGAATCACAGTGGCAGCCCTGAGACAAATACACATTAAATCTGCCATAACTGGCAGCCTCCACTGAGCCATACTTTGCTCCTTGTAGAATAATATCCTGTAGATTAGCACTAAAATAATATATTCCTATTTCATACTCATTTTATAATAGAGCCCAAAGGCTCAAATCAAGAATAAACCCTAGTTACTTTACATTCTGTGCAAAAATAACACACCATAGTCCTGTCCTGTCCAGCTCCCTCATTGGGTTGAGATGGAAATGCAACAATATAATGCAACGTTAAGGAGGATAGGAAAGATGGGTAAGAGTACCACCAAGTTTTTGGTGATTTAAACAGGTGATGTTCACAACTGTGTAGTGACAAACAAGTAAAGCTATCAATCAGTGATCTCCATTAGCACTCTTTTCATATGATTTTTGCATTGAAGTTGGGAAACTCTTCAACACAAGGATTTTTTCCTCCATGCACAATACCATCTCAGACAGCGACAATCTGTGATAGTTTAAAAACTAAACTCCTACAGTTTATTGCAGGAATGAGTATGAAGAGGACCTTTAGGCAGGCTCTGAGGAAAGAGTTAGGAGAGTGTTAAAAGCAGTTGGTTTATATGTAGCTCTCTGATACATACCCTCTACACCCAGGCTCGCTTCCTCCACCTCTCTCCAGCAAGCAGGGATAATGGGGTAGTAAGTAGTTACTTCGTAAATTCTCATGACCTCTTGAACAAATGAAATGGCCAGTGTACAAAACAATTATTTTTTTTTAAAAAAGCACATAGGTGCTGCGTATTTATTCCTTTCTGCTGATGGCTGAGTGCTCTTGCAGCCTGGCGAGGCCCCCAGGGCTGCTCCATGTCACAGAAACTGGAACTGAAGCACCCTGCTCAGGGGTCAGAGAGACAAAAACAGAAAAGTTGCGGAATAGTTGGCAGCAGCTCCACAGGGAAAGGGTGGGGACATAATAGCATTGGAATATTTTCAGATGAAGCTTTACTTCTTGTTGTAATAAATAAAATGGATTTACTTCCTCCACAGCAACATATCTAAGCAGACAAGAACAGAGTACTTTTTGAAGGTGGGGATATAGCAAGCTGGTTAAAAAAATAATATTCTAGAAATCAGCTTTTGACAATTAAGCAAGATTTTGTGTTTATTGACATTTAAGGTATGTTTTACAGAACTAAATTATTCATATGTGAGTTAGTGTATCAAGAATAAAATGACCATGTGAAAGATACCTCATAAACAGACAGAAAGGTGGGAAGAGGCTTGATTTTTCTAAGGACGTCGTATGATCTCCTGCTTTCTCCCTGCTGAATCCACGTTGCCAGTGCCTGGACTGGGGATCAAGGTCCCAGTCCCTCTCCCTGCCCGCACAGATGCACTTCCTTCACCCAAGACCCAGCAGCCAGCCCACAGTTCCATTTTTATCACCGCTAATTAAGTTTGTTGTTAGCAGCGTTGCCATCAAACTCTCTCACCAGACTCCATACATGCAGAATTTCTCAGGAAAACATGGTTAGCTTTCTCACTGCTCTCTTGCAGAGCTCCTGCTCCAGCACCGAAGCCTCACATCCAGGCTGGAGTGTAAACTGAGCGCTCAGTCCTGGGAGGGATTAGAAGGACTACTGTACGCATCCCATCTACCTCATATGCTTTGCAGCTGATGACAACCTTCCACCGCCTAGGAAGCTGGGTCTTTCAAAAAAACCAAAGGTATCAAAACAAATGTTTCTTCCTCATAACAACCTTGCCAAGCTTCCCTTTATGGGATGAGCATTAGAAAAGTGGGATTTTTGCATCATTAATGCATTTGTTATCTTTTATTCACGATGTCTGAAGAAGGTCCCTTTTCATTCTATAAGCTTTACAATAAACATATGCCAAAAGCAGAAATATCTGATAGCACTCCTTTTTTAATTTACCCTGTCAAGCACACACTGCCTGGGATAAGATATGGCTGTAGTATTCTATTAGTCTCGTTGCAACAGATTGTCTTTGGGAAAACACATCACCACGTATCCAGCCAAGCCTAGCAGGATGCCGAGGCTCATGCATTTTGTGATGCTGCTGTAAGATCTATCAGCTGTGGATGTATCCGAGTTTCTCATCTCACTGCCTTCACAGACACTTTTAAAGGTTTTATTAGACAACGCTTCCCTTGTTACAACAGTGCTGATTTCCTAGTCTTTTCAGTAAGTTTATCAGTTCGTCTGCTATATGTGCGACCTGATGGGAAAGGTAGTCCTGTATTTGACCTACACTGCCACCTCATCCATCTATAGCAAAGTATACCTAAATACTTAAATGAAGGAAAAACATGGGAGAACCAGCACTGGCCAACTTTGCCAATGAATTTAAAGTATCTTACAAAAGTTGCTCTGTAATATTCTCAGCTTCTGCACAAGAGTGACATTGTCTTGGTGCTGGGTTAGTACTGTCATCTGCTGTATCAAAATCATCTACTTTCTGCCTACATAAAAAGCAAGCAGTAAGAAAGCATCCTTTTGCCACAACTGGATAAAGGAAAAGTAGGTGAGCGATCAAAAGCAGAACCAATCCTTACTGTATTAGAAACATACATATTTGTCATTAAAGGTAATTTAACTAATGGACTGGCTCAAAACTGAGTGGAAGCTGCTCTATCCTTCAGCTTGCCTGTACCACATTTCACTCCAGCCATCATCTGAATGGCAAACACGGCATAAAAGCGATGTCAGAAATTTAAAAAAAAAAAAAATCTCCTGGGACGGTGGATTTTAAAAGCAAATGCGTATCGTTAATCTAACACTTGACACAAGCCCCATATTACCTGCCAAATGTCAGAAGGTCGCTTTCCATTCTCCCTAAAGCAGGGAGTCAAACAGGTCACCGGTGAGCGGAAAGCAGCGCGGCAACACACAGCTACTGGGTGGAAGGATGATTTCCTGGGCAGGGCTGCTGCTCTTCCACACTCAGTGGTCAGGCAGGAAAAGGTCTGGGCCCATGGCAGCTACCAAAAAGGCATCAGGAACCACGAACCTTGGCCAGATTGCCCCTTTCGAGCTAAGCCACAAGCTGAACTCTAGTGACAGCACGTCTGAATTATCTAGCCTCAGCAACATTGCTCAGGGCTGAAGTCAGACAAAACAAAGGCTTCACCAGACCCCAAAGGACAAGAATTTTGATTCTCTTCACAGGGAGAACAGGCAGAACATTTTTTAAAGCAGGTCTTTGCCTTACACGTGCCCGTCCAGGCCTATTTGCTACAGAGATACTGAGAAGGCTGCAGCTCTCCGCGCTCCAGCACTGCAATTGTTTCAAGCTGCTGCTCCAGCTGTTTGGTATCGCACCAACGGTGCACAGGACCGCTTGCTACGAGCAGCCGGATCAAGCGTGCGCGCTTCTCTCCCCCGGACTGTACGGAGCCCTGCTGAAACGCGGGTCCGACCCCGAGGCGGTGAGCGGGCAACCCTCCGCCGCACACCTTGGCCCAAAGGTCACTCGAAAGCTCGCTTCTGCGCTCCCAGCTCCCGCC